TGAAGTTTAAGGGAATTGCATTATGGAAAGTTCTCAGAGCCTGATCTGTCATTGTTGCTCCAGTATCATGCTGGTTTCTATTTCATAGACATTTAGGGATCTTGAGAGGTCAAGTCCCACCCCCATACTATGGCAGAACAAAGTATACCTCTTGCCTATTCCAGAGCTTAACTAGTCTAACTGTAAGAAAGAGTTTCTCAATGCCTAACCTAAATTTGCTTTCCTGCACATTAATCCTATTACTTCTTGTCCTAGCTTTAGGGGACATGGAGAACAATTGATCACAGGACTTATTAGAAACAGTCTTTAACATATTTCAAGATTGTTATGATATTGTTGGCTCAGATTTATTTTGTGATCCACATAACTTCCACATCCTTATCAGCAGTACCAGTTATTCCCCATTTCAGCAGCTAGTTATTCCCCATTTTGTATTTGTACATTTGATTTTTCCTTCCTAAGAAAAGTACTTTTAACTTGTCTTTCCTTAATTTAATCTTGTTGATTTCAGGCTAATTCTCTAAATTGTCAAGGTTAAAAAAAATTATAATCCTGTTCACTAAAGTGCTTGCAACTCCTCCAGCTTGGTGTCATCTGCAAATTTGAGAGCATACTGACTATTCCATTATACAAGTCATTAATGAAAACATCAATTAATATCACACTCAAGACTGACCTCTTTAAGAGTCCACTAGATATGTCCTCCCAGACTGACAGAAAACCTTTGATAACCACTCTTAGAATATGGGCTTTCAATCAGTTGTACACTCCCCTTACAGTAAATTTTTCTAGGCTAGATTTCTTCTCTTTGCATATGAGCATGTTATGTGGGACTATGTAGAAAGCCCTTATTAACAAAAAACAAAACAACAACAAAGCCCCAAGATATATCAAATCTGCTGTTTCCTCCTCCATCCACTAAGTCAGTAACTCTATCAATGAAAGAAATTCAGATTTTTTGGCATGATTTGTTCTCACCAAACCCAGGTTATCTGCTCCTTATTACCGTCTTATCATTTAGGTGCCTACAAATTGATTGATTAATAATTTGTTCCAGTATCTGTCCAGGTATCAAATTTTTGGTGATTGGTCAATAATTCCTCAGATTCTCTTTGTTTCCCTTTTCATGTTAAACTCTAAATTTGCCCTTCTCCAGTCATTTGGGACATCACCTGTCCTCTAAGAGTTCTTGAAGATAATTGCTAACAGTGCCAAGATTGCTTCTGCTTGTTCCTTAAGTACCCTAGGATGAATTTCATTAGGCCCTGCTGATTTGAATACATCTACGCTAGCTAAATATTCTTTAACCTGTTTTTTCCCTATTTTGGTTTGAGATAATTCACCCTTGCTGTTAATAAGGTGTTGAGCATCTGGTCACCGTTAAACTTTCCAGTGAATTCAGAGATTTTAATTTTGTGTCTGCTGAAGAGCTTCTTGTTTTCTGCATCAAAGAGAACAGGGCAATTTATGCTATTTTGATACTGCAGGGACAATAAACCAAGTTTACCCTCTTTTATACTCCTCAGTTGAATTTGGCCCAGAATATGTGCAACTGTGGGTTGTATAAAACTGAGTTCAATCAATAGATTTAGGTGTAGATAAGTGGACTTACCACTGGTACTTCCCCTTGTACTTGGGCTAGCACAGTTGGCTCTTCTTATCTAATACCCCTAGCTGATAGCTGTGATGGTTCTGTGGTGATTTGCCTCTTCTTGTGACACTAGCCTGTTTTAAGGTCACTGTCAGGACCCACTCCTTCTAGGATAAGAGTGAAACACAGTAAAGTCCAATAGTCTCACATGGAGTCTTTGAGCCAAGGTCAGATTCATTATTCCTTACATAGTAGGTTTATAGGCTCATTGAGGAAAATGGCAGACACCCAGAGGGGAACCCAGGTCTTCCCTCTTCTCTAGCTTCTAGCTCAGGGATCTTGCAGAGAACTGGTAAGGCCTGTTTATTCAGGACATTGTCTGGACCTGGGTTCCTCCTTAAGTTTCTTTCTGTCTCAGCCTGTCAACAGGCCTTTTCCCTAGACTGGCTATGTGTACACTGGTGGGTTCTTGCGCAGGAACATCTAACGCAAGAGTTCCTGCACAAGAACTCTTTCACAAGAACATGTCCACATGGCCATGTGCTTTTGGACAAGAGATGTGCTCTGATAGCCATTTTAGCCATAGGACATTCTTGTGCAAGAAACCTCTGCTGTACACTGCCATCTTGCGAAAGAGGGCTTACACTTGTTAGAAAAGAGCATAACTTTTGTACAAGAAGCCCTGTCTTCTCACGCTTTACTGTAAATCTTCTTGCACAAGAGCGGGCAGGCCGGGTGAACGCTCTGCAGGTTCTTGTGCAAGAACAGACGTTCTTACACAAGATCCCACCAGTGTAGACATAGCCATTGTGTACTTTTTTCCTTCCTTGGGCTTGATCTTACATCCCTCTTTTATTTCCTCTATGTTCTGTTCCTCAGCGGAACTCCCAACCTGCCCCCACAGTATCTCGTCACTATTGAGACAGAGCACAGGAACTAACTCCCTACTATGTGGTTTTCCTTCTAGCTAACTCATTGCAGGCTCCTCGCTCCTAAGTCACCTCATTCCCAACTGAGCTTTCTTTTTGTAGGGCTCCATGATCATTGTCCAGCTGTAGCCAATGATTGAATTAAGACTCCCACTCAGGATGATCTGGGAGGGAGAGTTGCTGCCATCACAAACAAAACTGGGCCTAACTTTCCTTAAGAATCATGTAGCCTGTGATATAGGCCAGAAGGGACCATTAGCTCACCTAGTCTGAACTCCTAAACAACACGGGTGATGGACCATCACAGTTACAAAGCTCATTACAAAGTAACTTTAATTTGACTAACACACTTCTTCTAGAAACACATACACTTGAGCTGAAGGACTTGAAAGATGGAGAATCAAGCACTGTGGTTGGTAGCTTGTCTTAAGGGTTAATTACCTTCACTGTTAAAACGTGTGCCTTTTTTCTAATTTGAATTTGTTTGGCTTTCATTTCCATCCAGTGGCTCTTGCCATGTTTTTCTCCATTAGATTAAAGACTAGTATTTTCTCCTAAGGCATGTATTTATGCACCATAATTTAAGCTAAGATTTTTGTCATGGATATTTTCTGTAAAAGTCATGGACCGGTCACAGGCAATAAAGAAAAATTCATGGACCGTGACCGGTTCATGACTTTTACTATAAATGCCCATTACTAAATCTCTGCTTCTGAGGTTTGCTGCCCTGGAGGCCCCCTGCTCCAGTGCTAGGGGCTGACTGCTCTGATACCCCAGGGCCTCCTGATGGTATCAGAAGCCACCCTTTGGGCCACTGCTTGGACACATACTTGCAGTATCAGTCACATCAGTGTCATCCCTCATGAGGGAAAATCACCTTCTTGTTGATACATAGCTAAAAATCACATTTACCCTTTTCTGCAACAGCATGGCACGGGAGCTCAGGAGGCATTCTTTATAAACTCTTAAGACATGTTTCTGTCAGTTTAACATTTACATCCATTGTACTAATGTGACTGAGCCTCCAAATGTAAATAAATGTTATTTTGTTTTGGGATCTCTGTTGGATTTTTTTTCATACAAATAGCCTAATTTACCACAACACAGGCAATCTCACTTCATTTAAATTGCTGTTGACCAAGTATAGGTGTTGGAAAATGTAAGAAATAGATACTGATTGGGAGTGTTTTTAAATGTTAACTGGAATTCATAGGTACAGATAATGATAGTGGATTCAACGTAAAAGCTGAGTTAGCGTTAAAAATGTTGAGGGATTTACAGCAAAATCTTGTGGGGTCATTCCATTTTATTTAGTGGAAGTTTGGTCTAGTAACTGGTATTTACTGTTGTTGTTTTTTACAACATTGGTAAAATTACAATACTGGTCTCCATCCTGATAGATCCAGTTTAGACCATAAATCTGTAAATGATACTTTCGTTATACTGAATTTTTTCCACTGAGGCACCAGTTAAGCCATAATGACATACTGACTTTCTTAAAATTATGTAATATGTGCTTTGAAAATGCTGCGTTTACTTTTCACTGGAACACTGCACAATATTTTTATTTAATTCGCTGGAGGATTGTGTATCTGTAAAAATTTCTTCCTGCAGACCCTACTGGAAACCTTTCAGAAGTAGCTAGTCTGTCTGTCACTTGGACAGAATACATTATAGTGTGGTGTGACAAAGATTTTATAGTCGCATGTTATGGATATGTAGCAAAGCCACAAGTGAGTTACAGAAAGTCATTTCCTGAGGTGCCAGCAAAACCCAATTACTACACTTGGCTGCACATTTTTGCTAGGACATTTTGGAGACAGAAAATTATAGCTGGTGCATTTTTAAAGGTACATATAATTTGTTGGGAAGAACATGAGGTCCTTAGTTGCAGATATTAGAAAACTGAAATTTGCTCAAAGATAATCTCTATATTGGACATATCCTTTTTAGTGATCCAGGAGAAATCTACTTTGGTTTTCATGCAATCGTGTATTTAAATTTTTAATTGCACATGCAGAGCGGGGCAGATGTAAAGACTCTGAGAACACATTAAATTTTGAGTTTCTTTACCTCTGAGTACTTCACTTTGTAACTTTAATATACTTAAACAGTTTTTCACTGACATAATTTGTTTTAAATAAGGGTGCATAATTCAGAATGAAACTAAGGAGCACCTCAGATTATCTCTTCTATAATTTTCCTCCCAAATTAAAAATATGGGTTATTTTTTTACATGTGGGTATATAAATATAAAGCCTGGCATATGATGAATTTCAAAATTGTGATAAACAGGTTCCACATGATGAATTGAATTTATTATGAACTTTTGACTGCTGAACTCAGCAGCCTAACACATGAGAATGACATGAGATAACATTTTCAAAACTGTGTAAATAACTTACATTTGAAAATGGTACTTAAGAGACCAACTTTTAGAATATAGGAGGTTAAACCATACTGACTTTCAGTGAGACTTACCCTCCAAAATGCCCATGACACTCTTGAAAATGGATTCTAGGAGCATAAGTTGATTCAGCACTTCTGAAAATGGTAAGAAGAAAAACTTTAATATTCTAGAGGAGAGTGTAATTAATTATAAAGGAATAAACACGCTGTGGTTTTTTTTTCCTCCTGGGACACTACACAACTGAAAATGGGGTAAAAAGGAATACACGGTAGCCCTACATGTTTGTTAATGAACAGGATATAAATATTTATATAGTACAGCAACATGCTTGCATTATATGTTGAATTAATTGTGTGATATAGGAATGTAACATAGCATACATTAAATATGTGGAAATCATTGTAATGATCCAGTAGGGAGAGCTAGAGGGCAATATTTCCATCAGGCACTTTGGTAAAGACTGCACATTTCATCATTAATTAAAGCAAGGCATGACTACTATAATCTACACTTCTGAAGCACGCTTCACAATAATGACAAAGCTCTCTTACCTACATTTTGATTTGCATCAATTGCTTCCTTCAATTTTAATCTATTTACTTGCATATTCAGTCTGTGTGGCTTCCTTCAGGGACACGCTGCTTGGGACATTGTGCAACCGTTAGCAGAATGCCTGCTGAAAGAATCTGAATCTTGCATGATGGCCTGAAGGTTTAAAGACTTGGATTCAGTGGTAGTGATTATCAATGTTAGGTAAAGTGGGTGGGCAGGCAGATCTTGGTGCTTAGCAACAGAACTATCCTTTTTAACTGGCATAACATTCTAATTTTGGCACAACATCTGCATATCCATGGTTTGCATGCAACTGTTACTTAAATCACTTAAGACAATTGTGTTTATTCCAGTCCAGTGTCCAATTCCCCTCCATTGACAATAGACTAATTGAACCTCTAAAGAACTTCCTTGAACTATACAAATGTAAGTGTAATTTTACTTTGGGTTTATCTTGAATAGCTATCCTAATTTACCAAAATAGCTTTTCCTTGCATTTGGATGAATTTTTTATCCTAGTTTTTATGTTTCTCTGGGAGACAGGAGTAAGCCTCAATCTGAAAACATACAGAAATGTACTTTTAGAAATAATGAGGCTATTCATTAGATACAAAACTTGATGAGAACTAGGAAGTTAGGTAATATTGTCTACTGATTTAAAATATATGATGTAGCTATGTTAAGGTTGCAAAGTCAAACACTCAAAGTCAATGCAGCCTTAATTAAGCCCTCTTGTGTGTATGTGTGATGACAGTCTTTACATATTTCCCTTTTTTCCTACAGGACCCCTGCTTCATTCAGGGCACAGTATGGATGATGATTCCTGAAGAGAGCTATTCTATGTTGATTTTTATCCTCATAATTCCGCGCACAGTCCCAGGCCTTATTTATTGCTTACTGCTTTCCCATGCAGCCAGCTAAAGAAATGGCAGGAAATCAGGCTCATCCCCAGCAGTCCCTAAAATGGAGAACACTCAGCCACAATATGGGGGATGGAGAATGCTCAGTGCCAACAATTTTCAGAGACTACAGATTACAAATTTTAACAAGTCTCACCTGAGCATGTATAAACATTTTTTTCAGAGGATCATAGTTTGGCTAGAAAAGGAATATCCTTGACATCAGGCAAACTTCATGCTAAGTTCAAGCCCCCATTCCAAAGCATGGGGGCTCAACAAATTTTCAGTTAATAGTTGTAAGATTTTAAAGCATACAGACAAACAAAAAAAAGTGACAAAATCCTCTCCCACCACCCCCCTACACACATTACCTTGGTTGCTTTTTCATTGTTTTTTTGTTCAGCTAAAACAGTTCACCCACTTCTGAGACCAACAACACTAGCCTGAGGCAGGCACCTAGCATAGAAGATTTGAATCCAAACAATTTAAGTTTGGCAAAGTTATAAGCAACTGGAAACAGTATTATAATGGGGAGTGTTAGGCAGCCTTAACAACAGGCAGTGACTTGTGTCACATACAGTAAATGTTCAGGCAAGGCTAATTCCTTGTGACAGGTACCTCGTAAGTAGCTGGGCTCACAGTATGGGGAAGAAATTTTGGGGACCTTCCCATTCAGGCCACAGAGCAGCTTTAGAGCCATTGGGATTGAAGTTTCCACTTACTCCCTGTTTTTTCCACAGTACGGGTTATATGCAGTGAAAGGTCATATGGACTTACCCCACATTTTTCTCCCTTTTATCCTCTAGCTGCCTTAACCACACACTTTTAACTCTTTGTATGGCATTGCATGGAGTATGAATCCCTGCATGGCTCTCAATTCCTGTCCTTGGTTTACAGTGGTGCAACAGACAAGTTCTCCTTCCACAGCCATAGATAAGGAGACCAGATTTGCCCTCACAGAATACATGCTATCAGCTACATGACATACTAGCATCAATTTTATGTGACACTTTGTCAGCAGCTCCCTTCTAATTAATAACATCCTGGTGTAAATGAAGATGCTAAATATCTCTCCCTGAAGTTTGAATTAGCACCTACCAGCCAAATTTTGTGAAAAAAAATTACCTTCCTCTAATGTTTTTGGAAATTATGCAGTTCCTAGAAATTACATAGGAAATCAGATTCACTTTAACCTGTAATGAGAACTGCTTAAATAATAAAAATGAGGAGCAGCATACATTTTATTATAGACCCTGTATGAGTATATTGATTTTATGCCAACCTCTGTTCTTCTCAAGAGTTTTTGTCACACAAATGAGGTTTCAGAAAAGCAATGCCTGTATTTTATGAAATAAAATGTCCTATGCCATTTCAAGATGACCTTTTCAATATTCAATATTTTGATGGGTTGGCTGTTCCATTACTAGAGGACCTATTCAGATCTTGGCTTTGGCTCTCTCAGGGTATGTCTACACTGCAAAGTTAATTCGAAATAACAGCCATTATTTCAAATTAACTTTAATAGCATCTATACATGCAAACTGCTATTTTGAAATTAATTTGAAATAGCAGAGAGCTTAATTCGAATTTGGTAAACCTCATTCTATGAGGAGTAACTCCAAATTCAAAACAGCTATTTCGAATTAAGTGCTGTGTAGACACTTAATTCGAAATAGGGGGCCTTCAGCCCTTCCCAGGGAGCCCTGGAGGCCACTCTGGACACAACCAGGAAAATTTACTCTCCTCTCCTCTAGCCTTGGAGCCAATGTCCCCTCCCCCTGCCCCAGTGGCCCCAAAACATGAGCAAGAAAGCCACTGGCAGCCAGCCCTCCACCACTCCCCAAGAGCAGTCTTCCAGCTCCCAGGAGCCTGACAGGGGCTGGAGAAAGTGGGCACCTTCCTGGTCCAGGGTGGAAATCATGGACCTTGTTCAGGTTTGGGGGGGGATGCCCCCAATGTCTATGATCTCTGCACTAGATGGAGGAATGCAGCTGTTTATGGTAGGTTAGCTGCCAGTCTGGCCACCAAAGGCCACATGCGAACACAGGAGCAAGTTTGCATGAAAATCAAGTTGGTCCGGCGAGACCCCCAACCCAGAGCCCTGAGCTTCCCCTACCCCTTCTTCTCCTTGCTTTCCCCTTCCAGCTCCCTCCTCCCAGGTTTCCCCCTCCCCTCTTCCACCCTCTCTCTTCCCCTCTTGCACCTTCTTTTCCCAGTCTCACCAGAGATTCATCCCCTCAATAAACCCAGTTTCTATTTTTGAACATGTGTGTCTTTTGTTTGACATCAGGAAGGGGGGCTAGGGAGGGGTAAGTGGAAGGATGTGAGGGAAGAATGGAGCACGAGCCCCTGTGGGGAAGGACCAGGGTGGCTCCTCGGGCTCCTGGGAGTGGATACTGTCCCACAGAGACTCCTGGATCCTGACAGCCCCCCTATGGACTCCCCCAGATGGCAGCCTGCAGCAAGTGCAGCAGGGCTAATGGCAATGACCCCACAAGATGCACCGGCATGCCCAGGGGCAGCTCTGGCTCCATGTGTCCGAGTGCTGTGGTGTCCCGAGTGCGGGCACTCAGGGCACTCTAAGACAGGACTGCTTTGTTGTCCCTCATCAAGGTTGACAAGTAAGCGGGGAACCCTGAGAACTATCTGTCCGGGGTGGAGGTAGGGTCCCTTGAAGCACAGAGCTCAGTTATCCTCAGGCAGCAGCCCCACACACTAAGTCCTAACCTGATGCCCTGTCAGCACTGGTTCCAGCCAGCCTTAACTTCGGTTCAGGGTCCACTCAGTGTGGATGTACTATTTCAAAATAGCAAAACTCTATTTCAAAATAGGTTTTGTGTGTAGATGCATTAATTCAAATTAGCTTAATTTGAATTAACTATTTCGAATTAAGATAATTCGAAATAGCACTGTAGTGTAGACATACCCTCAGAGAACACTTTAATTTATACAGTAATGTGTTACAATAGCACTAACTTTTGTTTGTATTACTCAATGATCCCTGCAACCATGCAGGAAGTTGGTCATGGCCTAGACAGCACATCACATATGGAACATGTCTGCATAAAAATGTGGACAAAGGCAGTTTCAGTCAACCTGAAACTATTCACGAATTTGACCCAACTGGAAAAATATTTTTCAGGGCCATCTTCACAAAACCATGGATCGTCCACCCCCTTTACAACCTTTAGGACAGTGATTAGGGCAGTTGGTTTTGAACCCCCCCTCCCCCGCCATACCATGGTGTCTTGAACTCAAATGTTTCCCTGCCCCCAACTATGTAAGTATCATAACCACCAGACTTTATGCTAATTTGGGGTGGGCAAACTCAATCTCTCCTATTGAAGGCTTTCCACTGTATATAAATAGTTACATAATTTGTCATTGAAGCAGGGACTTGAACACTGATTTCCTTTCCACCAGGAGAGTACCATAATTGTCTACCTAGTCTCTTCTCAATCACTCTTGTTAAAGCTGTTCCATTTTGTATTCTTACTGAAATATTCATTGAACCAAAGACAGAGATACTAACTTCACTCACCTGGTGATTAAACCACTCGCCTCAGAAGTCAGAGATGTGGATTCAAATTCCTCTTCTGTATCAGGGAGAGACAAAACAAAATTCCATTATGTGGCATTATACTGACACCTTCGTGGTGCATCAGCAGGGTTGGAACCTTTAAATAACAAAGAAAGCTGCTACTTGAGCTAATGAAATATCGATGAGGATCAGCTCTGAAAAGACAATGATACACAAATTGCCAGGGGGTTCACACATACTTACTGACAACAGAGGAATGGAAAACAGTGCTTCACATAGGGTGGTATGTTGCAGTACACCACACCAGGAAAATATTTATATCCGGTAGCGGTACACCAACATGACTGTACCACCGCAAGACCTTTCATGCAGAGTCTCCTCCACCTGTACAGAGCACAGGGCTGGGGGTGGTAAAGCTGCATCAGAGGAGCTGCCAGCATCCTCCTTTCCCCACTGAAGTCCCGAAAAAAGAATGTGAACTGCAGGGCTCTCCTGGAAAGCACAGAGAGGAAAGGAGCAGAACTTGAGACTACCAGGTAGCCCCACACTAGCGGTTCCACTGTCTCGGCTGTGCTGCCCTTTATATCACATATTTTTCCATTTGCTAACATGGTAACAAGAAGAGAAAATGTGATTCTTTTAATGCATTCAGGATAATTCTGATTATAATAAGAAAATGAAATATTGAAACCACAGCCCTTCATATTATAATGTCAAGAAAATAATCATTTGGCCCTGATCAGATGAAATCATTTACTTTTAGCTATGTTGAACAATTATTTTCCATTGATTTACAAAATGAGAATTACCTTTCAAGTCTTAATATGTTTGTATTTCATCTTCAAAATGTCTTTTTAATGTACTGAGAATTAAAATGAATGACTCCAGATGTTTTAGGAACACTAGCCTAGTCAGAGATACCTAAAAAAAGAAGTCATCCACAAAGTGTCTTTTAATAACTTTCATACTCACAAGTACACCCTGGCTATGTCTAAACTGGCATGATTTTGCGCAAGAACTCTTTTGTGGAAGAGTTCTTGTGCAAGAACTCTTCCAGAAGAGAGCGTCTACACTGGTATGTACCTTTGCACAAGAGATGTGCTTTTGCGCAAGAGCATCCATGCCAGCGTAGACGCTCTCTTGCGCAAGAAAGCTCTGATGGCTTTCTTGTGCAATAAATTCATGTTGCCTGTCTGCACTGGCCTCTTGCGCAAGAACAGTTGCGCAAGAGGGCTTATTCCTGAGTGTGAGCATCAGCGTTCTTGCGCAAGAAGCCCTGATTTCATACATTACAATGTCAGTGTTCTTGCACAAGAACTAGCTGCCAGTGTAGACAGGCAGCAAGTTTTTGCACAAAAGCGGCCACTTTTGCGCAAGATCACACCAATGTAGACACAGCTTAAGATAGTGGACCAGGTCCTCACCAGGTTTAAATTAACATACTTTTGTATTAGATCTACCACTCAGTTCACATGCACTATTAGCCAAAATGGTGATTCTATGCTCTGGATGTCCCCAATCCAATGATGGGTAGCCTGTGTCTCACCAGGGTTCTATGTGTAGCCCATGAGACATTTTGTTTACTGTTGCTCAGGGATGACAGATTCTGCTCATTTCTGTCTACGCAGTATTTCCCCCACCTGTATTTCTAAAGTAACATGCATGCAAAGCACCTCATAAAGCAAGGTTAGTGCTAACTGCACACAACATTGACTTTGAGAACCGTGCACTCACTCTGTATTCAATCAAAATGCTGCTACAGTTCAGTCAGCACACCCCACAAATTCTAGGTACATAAACACAGTTATCAAAACTACCCTATTGTGGGAGAGCATCTTGCTTATGATAATCTTGCACTGAGATGAAGAAGGGTAACTCATGCAGTCCACTCACAAGTCCAGGTTGCCCATCACTGCCCTACTATCTGATTGCCAGAAGCTGGGAGTGGACAAGAAGGGATGCCTTGAATAGAACTTCTTACTCTGCAGATAAAATTCTATTCATTACTAATGAGTCTGTTTGGAAAAAGGCATATTCTTCCAGGAAGTAGGAAAACTTTTATGTGACATGGACTTTAACCTCTAAGTATGTATCTAAACTTGCTAGGTACTAGTTATAATATTTCAAAGTATTGACCTTAAAAAATTCAGAATACTGTACCTGAACAAAAATGCAGGCATAAGCAACTGTAAAATCCTTCCTGCATGGAAACTACAGTGGAAGGAACTTAGATTATCCTCTAGATCAAATGGTTTCAAAAGATGCAATATCATTTTGGATTCATTTTAGGGTTTTCTGGGGGGGGGGAAGGTGTGGCAATCAGGCTCTTCTTTAAAAGCTGTTGCATACCCTCAGCAATAGCCTGAAGACTTAGTAAATGTCTAGATCAGTAGTTTTCAAACTTTTTTTTATTTAATTTCATTTCCAAACAATTTTAATGGACGTGCAGTCCTCTTTTGAAATTGTAGATATAATTTGTGGCTTCTATGGACAACAAGTTGAAAATCACTGTTCTATGGTGATGACAATCTTTCATAGACTGCTTAGATATAGTCTGCAGATTACCAGAGATATCCACTGGCCTAGACAGAGACAAAAAGGAAGAGACATATTTAACAATGCGATAGTGGGTGGAAGTGATTGTGAAGTGAATTTGTGATACTCAGGAATGGGGGAAGGGAAAACAGAAGAACAAAAATAATGGATTTCAAGAAGGCAAAATTGAGCAAATTCAAGGAGCTGGTAGTAGGATCTCATCTGAAGCAAGTTTAAATGGAAAAACATTTTGAGAGAGAGTTGACAGTTTTCAAAGAGACATTATTAAGGGCACCAGAGCAAATTATCCTAAGCAAATGCTTATGTACTCCACTTCCCTGCACCTCAACAGGACTCTTTCTGAAGCCTGGATATACAACTCTAGCTTTAGGTCATATGAGCAACTGCCAGTCACCATGCCAAGTCCATGCTTTTCTTAATGTATACTTACATTAAATTAAAAATGGAATGAAGGATAGACCAGTGGTTGAGTCATTCATCTGAGATTTATGAGACCTGAGTTTAATTTCCTGCTCTGCCACAGACACTTATGTGTGACACTGGGCAAGTCACTGAGGGCATATCTATAATGCCCCATAGCCTACACTATTGTGTGAATAACTGTCAACACCAAAGTGCTGCACTCTGACTCCCCCATCTAGATGCTAGGGGCATGAACTAATTAGGGTTGCCAGCTGTCCAGAAATCCCATCTTCTGGCAGGTAAAAAAACCCAGAAAAAACATCTAAAATGTGGCATAGCCATTTTCCCCCTGCCACGTCTGGCAGGGGCAGGGGGAATGTGGAGCACAAGAATTTAACAAGTTTGGTCTCTGGGGGTTATTTTTTGTTGCTTAACAAGTTTGGTTGGTCTCCTGTTGTGAGGTTTTTTTTTTCTCTACTAATTTTTCCTCCCGTCATGTTTTTGTGAAGGTATCTAACAAGAACTAATAGAACTAATAGCTGCCATGACCGCAGTCCTCTTCCAACAGGACTACATTAATGTGAAGTAGGCCCTTTTAGTCTACAGTATCAAGACGGTGAGAGTCACAAAGCAGGACTTTGGTGCTCACTGCTATTCACATCTTTGTAGTCCAAAGTGCAGGGGTGCCTGTCTCTCTTTAAAATAAGGATAAGTAACACTTCACTTGGAGCCCATCACTGAATTTGGTTAGCAGCGACTTCTTGAAAATGTGTATTATTTTTTGATCTATACAGCTTGCTTGCCATTAATAATGACATCCCATCCCCCTTCTCCGCTTCCATTTTCCCCCGCCCAGCCAGCCCGCCCCACCGGATCGCGAGGTTCTGCCACTCCCTGGTTGTCCAGGTGATACCCCGAGTGGGGAGGTGAGGGGGGTCCGGGCCCTCCCTCTCTCCAGACTCCAGCCCAGGGCCCTAAGGTGGGGGAGAATATCCTCTCTCCCTTCGCCTGGCTGATGGGGCTGTGTGCCGCAACTCATCAGCCCACAGGCTCCTGTTTTGCACCCACCCTGGGCTACTTTCTCACCCCCGCTCACCAGGATACTTCGCGTGCTGCTTCCTTGAGGCCCAGAGCCCCCTCATCCGGTGCTCTGGCTGGCCTCTCCCCTCC